TCCTTTCAGCCTGAGGCAGCTGTAGAACTTCATCCTAGCCTGAAACCCCCCTTTAAGCAGGAGCAGAGCGTACAAGCCCATGGTCGTGCAGCAGGCGGGTGGCCCTGAAGCTCTGCCGGCCTTCACCTTGCAGGCTGTCCTTTGGCAAGTCTGCCGAGAGAGAGGTAAAATGCTGCCACCACAGAGTAAGCAAAGCCTGCCAGCCTGGGGACCCTCTGCTGTCCCTAGGCTCAACTTGGCAGAGCATAGCGGGAGGACGGTGAGGTATGGAGCAATAAGAAAGGGGCCCACTCGTGTGCGATCGGTGTCTGTGCTTCCACAGCACAGCCCTGCTCAGTGTTTCAGTGCTGACGGCAGGAAAGACTTTAGCCAAAAGGCTGCTTAAACCAAACTAGAGTGAGGTAGGGCATGTTGTATTTCTTTGCGTCTTGACAACTGCTCACTTCAGGCACCACAAAAACCTCTCATTGCTGATGGCGGGGGAAGGAACACTTTAGGCTGGAAAAGTCTATTTGTCGAGGGCTCGAGGCCCGCCGTCACTGCAAGGTGGTAAAACACAGCAGCGGGCGGCGTCCTATCCGCTGTCCCCGCGGCGCCGGCGGCCGCCCCCGCATCCTCCGTCACCCCATCCGCACCACGCTACTGCCCCGCGGCAATAGCTGCGGCACAGCGCGCAAGTTCCGCGGGATGAATGGCCCCCACCGCCGTGCACACGGCGAAGCCGGCCTTCGCCGAGAGCGTTTTGACGCTTCTCCCGGTATGCCCGTGAGCCCCGCGGTGCCCGACGGTGGGGCCGGCAGCCGTCGGGAGCGGGGAGCCGGGGCACGGCCGCGGCCGGAGAGCAAAAGCCCCCGGGGCTCCGTGATCCCTAGCGAGGGGAAGGCAAGGAGGAAGCACCCGTCGGGCTGGCTGCGGTGGTGATGCACTTCGGGGAGACGTCGGGGCGGGCCGCGGAGCCGCGGGTGGGGCGGCTGGGCCCGGTCTCTGCTGCCCAGGGGCACCCCCGCGGCCCGGACCGCGGGTAGAGGCCGCGGGCGAGGGGCTGGCGGGGCTTGCGCGCCCGTGGGAGACGCGGGCGGGATCCAGCCCGCTGAGGGCGTTGTGTGCTTAATTGCTTTCTTCTTTCATGGAAATTAATCGCGGCGATGTTTTACGGGGATCTGAGTCGGAGGAGGGAAAAGGAGGACGCGGAGCGGGAGTTGCATCGGCGGTGTGTCCCGGAGCCTGCCAAGCGCCGCGTCCCCGGCCGCCTACGCCTGTTTGTCAAATCTTGGCATTTCCTGACTGCTTCATTAAAAACAAAACAAAATATCCCACACCAATAAATCGGAGCTAAGTCGGTGATGATTTAGTCACCGAGAAACACGAACGGAATCAGATGCCAGATCGACGGGCGGTCACTGTTTTCCATAAAATAAAAAAATTAAGCTCTCGGTGTGTAGCCCGAGTCGTTTGCAGCACAAGCCTGTCTGTTGGCCGGGGCAGCCCGGGGCTGGGCCCGTCAGCAGGTGCCCAGCTCTGCCCTGCGCGCCCTGGCAGCGCTCCCCAAGTCAGCGACCGTCGAGGGCTGTCGGAGCTCCTCCCAAGCCAGAGTGCGGCGGTGCCCGGCACCAGGGACTGTGCTCCCGTTCCCGGGAGTCATGAGGCGGCCTGGATACCCGCTGCCCCTTCTCCCTCCGGCGACGGCTGCGGGCGCATCCCCTCCCCCCTCTGAAAATTCATTTTCGCGGGAGTGAGTCCCCAGCGACTGCAGCCCCCCAGTGCCGACAGCGGCGGTCTGAACCGCTCCGTGCGCGCATCGCGCACCGCAGCCGCGCGTTGTCCCGCGGGAGGCTCCGCCAAGCGCCGCCGCGGGGCCTCGCTGCCGTCTCCTGGGCACGTTTCTGTGCTCAGAAGGGGCGAGTGGTCAAGGTTTGCCCCAGGTTTCACGGCCGCAGAGGAACTGCTTTAATCTGTTCCTCGCAGCGAGAACAAGCACTGCCTATCTCTCTGGACGGAATCCAGCGCTCCGGATGTATATTTTTTGGGGGTGGGGGAGGAGAGAGCGTGGGGAGGCTGAAGTGATCGTAGCTTTGTCGGCACCGGCAGGACGCGCGGGTGGGAGAAGACAGTGCAAGGTAAGCCCTCGGGTGCCCGCGGATAGCGGTGCTGCCTCCGCCCCCCTCGGAGCCCCGGGCAGAGCTCCACGCTGGGCCCACCGAGAAACCCACCCAACGCGCTGGGTCCGCCGGGACACCCACCCAAGGCGCCCGGCGGCCGCGGGGCCGCAGCCAGAGACGGTGCCGGGGCGGGCGGAGCGCGCAGGGCCCCGCGCCGACCTGCAGGCGGCACTGCAGCACCGCGGGCCGCCGCCGCCGGGCACAGCGGGGCCCCGGGCGCTCTCTCCGCACCGCCCGGCTGTGCCCGCGCCCGGCCCGGGCATAGCGGCGCGCCCGCCCCGCCGAGGAGGAGTAAGACCCGTGGGGCGGGAGGCTTCTGCCCGACGTGGATGCAGAAAGGTGACGCTGGACCGGCCTGTGCCTCCTCTGGCGTCAGGCCCGCTCGACGGCTGTCCGGTGCCGGGGAGCTCCCCGGCGTGCGAGCGACCCTGGGCTCCGCCGGGTGCGGGGGTGCCGCGGCAGTACGGGCGGGCCACGCCACCGGCTCTCGCCGCGCACCTGCCGGCCGGGCCGGGCGGAGTCGTGCCGGGGTCACCGGGCGCTCCCGGTCAGCTCAGACGTACGGGGCGGCTGCGCTGCCAGTGGTGAAAGAGCGCGGCTTTCTCTTCTACCAGCACGGCCGAAACTATCAGGAGCGCCCGGGGAGCGAACAGCCCGGGCAGCAACCCCAGACCGCGCCGTTCCCCTCCCGAGGAAAAAAGCCTCCGCTTTGAGGCTTTTTTCCTTGCCTGATCGCTTGGGGATTTGGCGAAGTCGTTGTTTAAGGATTTTTTTAAATTTGGTTTGGGTTGGTTTTCCTTTAGGTAGGTAGGTAGGTAGGTAGGTAGATAGATAGATAATTTTTTTTTTTTTCCCCCGGCAAGCGTGGCTTATTTTTTGCTTGCTGTAAAGGGCAAGAAATGACATTTCTCCCGAAGCAATCTCCCTTTGATCCTTCTGTTCGAGGGGTTTGTTCTTGGTATCCACAAGCCAGCAGCGGGGGAAGAAATTGCAAATGTAAAGTCCCCTTTTCACTTTGTTCTTGAAGCAACCGGCCTCTCTCTCGGAAGCAAAAGGGAGGGGATGCGGGTCCCTGCCTCGCGCCCCATCGGAGCCCCCCAGTCCAGCCGCGGCCGATAAGTCCTCGCCCCTCGCAGGCTCCCGCGGCCGCCCGCACCCACGTCGCACCCAGCCCAGAGGAATCGCTCCTTCTCTCAGAATTGTGAACCTCCTATCCTCACTGCCCGAGAGAAGAAGTGCTATTTATTTAGGGTGTCTGGGATTTAAAACAGGGCATTTTCGAAGTACGGATTTTTGAAAAGAAACGAAAAATAGCCCCGGCGGCCGGCGGCAGCCGCGGGCTGTAACGTGCGCCAGCCTCGACTCCACTTCGCTGTGAGGGGACACGGCCAAACCTTTCTCTGTTGGCTCCTATTTGCCTCTTTGATTATTTTTTTTTTCTGTACACTAAAAGGATAAAAAAATCTCGTTGCAGCCGTCAGTTGTGTCCCCTTCCTCGGGCTCGAACTAACCAGCACAGCCCCTACCTCTGAAAAATTTTCATAGCTGTCCTTCAAGGTCCATTTTCCCCCACATCTTTCCGTACTTTTCAAATCCTAGTTCCAATCTCCAATCCAGATTATAGGTAAATTCCCCATACATGTGATTTAAGTAATGCACAGAACAAGATATCGTTACAGATAAAAATGTAACCGAAATTCACCATGTGCAGTCAGCCGTATTGCGGCTATCGACGAACGTGAATAGAGCGCTCTAGTCAGGAAATTTGAAGAGGGTCACGAAGGCCCCATTCAGCAGTAAATTCCCCGTTAATAAATCGAAACTGCATTCGAAACTATGTGTCTGTTCCAGGTAGGGATTGTGTGCTTTAGTCACCGCGTACGAGGATGCCTCCACAGAGGTTCTCTTCGGGAATCTGCTTTAAGCGCCCCAATCTCAGTGGAAGGGCAGCGCTGAGTTGCTGAAGGGTGGGTCCCCAGGGTGACCCGACATGACGGCCACGAAGCCATTTGGACGTGAGCTTTAACTGCAACCTCCCTCGGAGACGTAGGCACCCACAAAAACCCACGCTCTGGCTTTGGGGGAGTTATTTTAGATATTTAAGCCGCCTATGTCACCCCGGCTGGGGCACGGCGGGTGGGCGGCCGAGGCAGGCGGTGCGGTGCAGGGAGAGAGCAAATCTCCGCGACCGGCAGCAGGGTGAGGGGCGTCGGGCTGTTCGAAGAGGGAAAAGTCACCTTAGGTGACGCGGGGAAGCGGGGGGCGTCCTGCCCCTTTAAAGTCCAGTTGCTACCCAAACACAAGTAAACAGTGGGGCCGGCGCGGCGGGGCGGGC